GCGCACTTGCCTGCTCTCCTCTAGGAGAGTCTGACTCATTCAAGTCATCTGTCTTTATTAAAAAGGTGGTCACTGCCTCCCTCGTGCCATATAGGCAGTGCCGTCCAGCCAGATTGCATCGGGATTAGATGCTTCTTTGGAGTCTATCTTCCGGGCGTCTGGTTTAGGGCCTTCACCCTTTCAGTACCGCTTATGCGCACTTGCCTGCCCTCCTCAGAAGGTCTGACTTCTTCAAGTCTCCCGCCTTCTTTAGAAGGTGGTCACTGCCGTAGTAGGCATCGCCTGTGTGCATTCCTCCGAATGAAGGGTTGACCGTGGAGTGGTCCTAGGCAAGGCGACCTCTAGGGGTATAACGGACAAGTGTCACCGGCAGCAGCATCGGGGCAGCACCCCATCTAGTGACAGAGGCAAATTTGGCAGCGCATGCAATGTCCAAGCGTGAGTATGTAGTCGCAAGGCTTGGCATGCAGATATTCTGGCACAGACAAAGCAGGCCAATCAATGGGGCACAGACAAAGCAGGCCAATCAATACAGCTTGGACAAAGCCGGACAAATCCTGGGGCACAGACAAGTCAGGCCCTATGGGGGTGCACAGGCGATAAACTGCCCTTTCATTCTTCTGATTAATTGTACAATTCACTCTTCGGAGAAGATGTACCTAAGACTTCTTCAGATTAATGGCACATAACACTCTCCTGTGTAACTGTAGTTAACACTTTTCTGTGTAACTGTACATAACGCTCTTCAGTGTCACTGTACATAACATTCTTATGTGTAACTGCACGTAACATTCTTCTGTGTAATCGTACATAACGCTCTTCCATGTAGATGAACAGAACATGCTTCTTTGTAACTGTACATAACCTTCTTCTGTGTAACTGTACATAACATTCTTCTGTGTAACTGTACATAGCATTCTTCTGTGTAACTGTACCTACCATTCTTCTGCATAACTGCACATAGCATTCTCCTGTGTAACTGCACATAGCATGCTTCTGTGTAACTGTACATAGCATGCTTCTGTACAACTGTACATAACATGCTTCTGTGCAACTGTACATAGCATTCCTCTGCGTAACTGCACATAGCATTCTACTGTGTAACTGCACATAGCATGCTTCTGTGTAACTGTACATAACATTCTTCTGTGTAGCTGTACATAGCATTCTTCTGTGTAACTGTACATAGCATTCACTTGTGTAACTGAACATAGCATTGTTCTGTGTAACTGAATATAGCATTCTTCTGTGTAACTGTACACAACATTCTACTATGTAGATAACTCTCTTCAGATGAATAGTGCCTAACACTCTCTGTGAACTGTAACCAACTCTTCTGTAACAGAGTGAAAGAAACAGCTTACCATAGGAAAACAGAGAAAGTGAGGTTGAAGAGATGAAGTGCCTTACTCTAAAGGGCTCAAACCTAACACTCCAGAAATGTATTTATAGTAGTGACATTAGAATTTCCAAAAGGCAAACTCTTCCAACCTGCCTCCCCACCGGCGCCCGGACCGAGGGCCTTGCAGTGTGGGGAAGCCAAACGAGGTCATCCCTCCCATGCTACCCGAGGCCGCGAAAGATAACTGCTTCCCAGCGGTACGGGGTGCGTGGGAGGGAGACAGGTGGAGGGCAGTTCCCGCATGCCGTGAGAGTGGCGTGCAAGATACCCACGTGGGACCGCTGAAGTTGTTCTCCGCGGTCCCGGCGGCTGGACAGGATGGGAGGCGGTACTGAACCGCTCTCTGCCGGCCGCTAGGAAAACAGAAATACAACAGGAAGAAAACAGAAGGAAGCCAAAAAGAACCGAAAGAAAATGAAAGTAAAATGCCCGCAAGGAGAGCAGAGAAAAATAGAGGGAGAAGGGTGGAGGAAGGCACCCATACAGACCCCACGAAAAAGCGGGGGAGGTAGAAAGAGCAGGCAAGAAGAAAACACCCGCAAAAGGCACAATAGATGACTTCAACTCATAAAATAAATCCCAAAATCAACACACACTATCAAATCATGAAAATCAAATCATACAATCAAATCATGGAATTTAAATCATACAATTAAATCATTAACCTCAAATCAAATGCTAAAAGCAAGTCATACAATCAAATCCTGAAATCAAATCATGAAAACTAAATCATACAAAGCATGAAAATGAAATCATACAATCAAATCAAATCTTAAAAACAAATCATAAGATCAAATACAAGTAAAAGTATATATCCCACAACCACCTATATTAAATAGGAGGCAGTGGTACTCTGGCCTGTACTGTCTGCAGAGCAGCAAAGAAAGAGGAATTAGTTGGTTGGGAGAAGCCTTTCATGGATTCCTGAGTTTTTTTGTCTCTGGTGTTTTTCTCTCTATGTTAATGTGCTGCTGTGGAGTTCTAGTAAAGAGAGACTTAAGCAAATATGAAGCCTCTTGTCATGTTATAAAATTCATCCAAACCAAAATGCCACATGAATGAAACTCAGCCTGACCAAACTGATTTTTTTTTTACTTAAAAAAATAAAAAAATCTATTGAGAGGAACCATTTTTTTCTGCTACAAACATTTTACTATTTAGTGAATTGAAGCATTACATATGTACATTTTATCCATTAATTAAATCAGTCATTATTTGAATTAGAATTACTTCCTTAAAGGCAGCATCCTATTCTTTTCTATCAAACATTTACCACATTTCTCTATTTTTTTCTAATGTTCTATTGAAGTTTCTGTTTGTATCTTCATTAATCTCCTTATTCTTACAAAATGGATTTGTTTAAAATAGTACAGGTATTCCGTGTTCAGACAGCCTGAGTAACACATCAATAAAGCACTGCACAGAAAGAAAAACAATTTAACTTTGAAAAAAACAATTGAAAGTTGTTTAAAAGTTTTAACAGTTTATGATTAATACAATTATTGTTAATATTGTTTGATCAATAGAACATGAAATATATTGTTTTGTCATTTAAATTGTAAGGTAAATATCGTTTGGTAACATGTGGATGCAGAAACAATAAAACAATGTAATAAAGACAAATAAAACACAAAAGACACATTGTGCAGTTATGGATTTTTATATACATGACTTTGACTTAATTTACTACAAAATGATAACAGCCACAAAATTATTGAACTAAAATATAGTCCGCATTTATAAACTGTAAACTGACTTCTGTATGCATTTAGATAAGTTAATTTAGTTAGTTCAGTAATTTTACTTAATAAACTGGACAGTAGTGAAAAGCATCAAATCATTTAAATAGAATTAAATTTTCTAAGAGTTATTTAAGTGTTTTCTTCTATTGTTAATGCCTGAGCAGGTCATCAAAGCATCAAAACCAAAATCAGGGATGTTGTTATAAGAGGGCTGAGGTGAGCTAAACACAGAATGAACTCTCAAAAAGCCATATCTATGCTTTTTTTTTTTTTTTTACACTTTTAATTGGTAGTCTTGAGCACCCTGCAGGGGGAAAAAGCATAACCCGTAAGTGTGTTTCTACAGCATTCAGACAGTTACAAATGGTTCTTTTTACAGGAGTGAGAGGAAAGGAGTGTCCTATTTATTTACTCACAGACTGGTATACCAAGTGCCCTAAACACTGACCTCTGCACTCTGTGTAAATTAAAAATATGCTTTGTGGCATTGTGCCCTCCTTCTCATTGTTGTGATCATATATGCAGGGTTATTTACTATAGTGAGAGTCCCAAATGAATTTCATATTTTGGGCCCTTTTAGCCAAACCAGGAGCACAGTTAACTTAGAGTTTTTTTTTTACAAATCTGCTCTTTTGGCCTAGAATTACAAATTACTTTAATTTCAGTTTAAATTTTTAATTTTGTGAATAACCCTGATAATAGCAATTCAATTCCCTTTAGGGTTCCTCTGCAACAGGTTTATTCACAAAAGTGAGGCTTCAAACTGAATTTCAATTTAAAGTCAAACTAGCTGAACCATCAAAATTATGTTTTGCTAGCATTATGGCTGCATTAGAGAAGATGTAGTCAACAACATCTGGAGTGTTAAGTTTGTCTACCTCTGCATTAGACTCTTGTATATTGCAGGCTGCTAAAGAATTGTCCAACTTGTTAATTTATTATTCTGAAACAGGCTCGAGGATTCCACAAAAGAACATAATAAAACATGCATGTGATAATATATATATATAAACACTATATCTGTGCATCATTGGTTGGAGCCAATAGAGGCTATGTGTATTTTGTTCTTTTGTTTCTCATTTGAAAGCACTCTTTCTAGATATTTAAGCACTACATTGATTGTTTTATTAAAATTAGTATACATATACAGCCTTGAGGCCATTTTAATTCAATTTAAATATGTTATGATTTTTGTTTAACCTGTTTCGATTGTTCTATTTATGTGAATTTTATAGAGTGCTATTTAGTGCACACAACTGATTACATAGTTGTTACTCATTCTGTTTTTGAATAAGTGCTGATATTGAAATTGCATATTTATGTACATATTTGAGATGTATTATTGTTTGGAGTTACTCAACACTATGCACTAAGTAAGCGAGGTGATTTAAAATGCCATCTTACTGTTTTGTGTGGTTTGTCAGCACAATTTCATTGTAGTATGTAAACTTGATAAGGCTTGATAAAAGATACAAAACAATCAAAATGTTGCTGGTGTGATGTTTCAATAACAGGAATTTTCTTAAGATAGATATAGAATGCCGTATATAGTAAGGGATACTTTAAGGGATTAATCTACTTTTGAAAAAAAGACAATTTAAGTCATTTAAAATTGAGTCTGATTGCTTTATTGTGTCTGCTTGGTTTTTAAGTAATGTGCCTTGACAGCAGAAGTGAAAAACGCCAGTCATGTTGCTTCCTGAGAATTAAACGGACAATGTAGTCACCAAAATAACTTTAGCTTAATGAAGCAGTTTTTGTACATAGATCATACCTCTGAAGTTTCACTGCTCAGTTCACTGCCATTAAGGACCTAAATTACTTTTGTTTCTGTCCATGCAGCCCTAGCCACACCTATGCTCGCTTTGACAACACATATACTAAAATTGGAACAATACAGAGATTAGCATCACTGTACTACTGAGGATACTTACCCTCAAATAAACATAATTCTCACTTGCATCCTCGGGAGCTGACAGTTTCTTGTTCACTTACACCTCCCCTGGCTGTGACTGACATAGCCTGCTTGAAAACAATTAGATGTTTCAGTCAGATGTAACTTATATTAAACGTTTCAATCACCTGCTCTGTAAATTGAACTTTAATGACATACAGGAGGCCACTGAAGGGTCTAGCAAGCTATTAACAAAGCAGGAAATAAGAAATTCTAAATTAAACAGAATTAGCAATAAATAAAGTATAAACATTAGATTACTCTTTACAGAAAGTGTTTAGTAAGGTTGTATAAGTAACATGCAGGAAGGTGTGACTAGGGCCCCATAAACAAAGTGATTTATCTCCTAAATGGCAGATAATTGAGCAGTGAGACTGCATGGGGCATACATCTATACACCAAAACTCCTTCATTAAGTTAAAGTTGTTTTGATGACTACGGTCTCCCTTTAAAGAGCTCAGATGAAGCATAATCATTTGATCATTGTTGTATTGATTTTATAAAGGCATATTACAACTTTAATTTATTTGATCTGTTGTACTTTGTCCTTCCTTAAATTTGCATTTTGATAAACCTTCAAAACTATATGATTTTTGAACTTTAGCACACCAGCAGGACTCAATGAAACAATGATTTCTCTCACCTTGGACCAACGAGAACAAAGAAAGTGGCAGAGTACAATGATCATAACCCAGTCAATGTTTAAACGTATTGGCCTTAATGTTGTATTTCTTTTTTCCTGATGGGGATCTGGCTTTGTGAGTGTGATGGGGGGAGTGGGTGGACAAGAACATTAGGAGGTGCCATGTCATCCTAAAGTCATTAATTCTCCTTTTGAAGATCAGGAAGGGGTTAATATTGTTAAAAAATGAGTTAAGACAATATTCTATTTTTTTTTTTAAATCTAAAATGTAATAATGCATTACTGGTGTCATTACAGAGCTCTTGTAAAAATTATATGCACATTTCATATAATTATTTTTGCTGTTCATTTCTCTAGAAATGTAAATTACATTAAATTATGTGTCTGTGTAACTTACTAAAAAGCTGAAATGTGCAATATAAAATATTTGGAAGTGATACCTCCTCAAATAACTGATAATAAAACTCTTAAATGTCAAAAGTCATTTCATTTTTCCAACAAGACAAATTAGGCCATCCCTAACCATATTAAAATATTATTCACTTTGACAATAGAACCACTTCTGAGACATGAACTATTGCTATATTAGAGAAAGGAGAGGTAATCAGTATTTTTCATCTTCTAAGAATCTCTTTAATGCAAAAATATCCATCACATCTAATGGAAATGGTATGCACCTAGAAGGAAAATGTCTTTTCATATTTCAAGCTAAAGGCTGATTTAAAAAGAGCAACTGTGAGTAACCAATAGCTCTAATAGAGAAAAAATGTACTATTCCCAGCACAGGAGGTTATTTTCCTAGCTAGTATTATCAAACTAGTATATCAGTATACTTATAATCTAATAAGGAATATATATATATATATATATATAATACAGTGATAAAAAAAGATAAAACAGCAAAATAATATCAGTCTATAGCAGTAATTTCTTCACTAATATCCTCAAGGAAACAATATAACCAGCAAAACATACTTATGTTTCAAAATTATAACATTTCCAATTCCTTCTGTATTGCATTATCATCCTGAGATGCTGATTTTAATGATTTTATTCCACTAAATTACTGTCTGGCAAATATTAAAAAAATAAAAATAAATAAAAAGTATGTGCATGCTACAATCCTTTTCCCTACATCATGGAAATTGTAGACAGAATAAGTTCCTGATCTTTAACATTAAAAGATTTTACTGATTTGGGTACACAGTCAATCACACCAACTACTCTCTACTTAGTATACAGAAATCAAACATGCATGGTTCTATGTAATCCAAATTTTAACCCAAGAGACGTGTGTCTCTCCAAAACACAGGGATTAAAGATTTTAGAAGAAAAAAAAAAAAAGATCTAGAAGATCTCCACTGGAGCTAATATTACATATTGCATGGCCTGGTGAATTTCCTCCTTCTTCCTCTAAATGTGGGTGGATTTGGGAAGGACCAGAGCTGGATTATAAATACTCACTTCTTCAGGAAAACATATCAGTTAAATTGTTAATAGTCTTTCCTCCCTTACCTTGCTTTCTCTCCTGCAACTCTCATAAAAAAACCACTAATCTATCAGTGAAAACTTTTCTACCTATCCTTACTCTTTGTGTCACTATACTCCACTCTCCCTAGCATTTAAGATCATTGAGCAGGGCCCTCAACCTCCTCTGTCCTGTGAATCCAACTTGTCTGGTTACAAATACTGTTAGTCCACCTATTGTACAAAATTTGTTGCCACTTATAAGTTATAACTAATATAATAATATATATTGTTATACAATTGTAGATTATGCTAGCTTTAGTTTACCTATAATCTTAATTTTATTAATGACAGTAGGCGAGTATTTTGCTCAAGTCTTTCTTTACTTAAGCTCCACAGAAGCACTTTTTAACATAGTAACAGGATAACCAATCAGAAAAAAGTAACAGGATATAAAACTCCCTCCCACTGATGTCACTTCCTCTTTCTGGTTGCGAAACGAACGAGAACAGGAAAACTGCAGACGAAGTAGATGAGGATCTCAGCATACCAGACGAGGAGAGTTCATGCTTGAGAAGACCAGGAACTAGGCATGACCTTTTGAGGGAGCTTTAAACTGAAAATAGAGAACAGAGTCAAAACAGAGGATTAATCCACGAATTGGACTTCTAAAGGCATGCTATCAAACTGTATTTAATCTGTATTCTGAAAGATGCATGGAACACCATCTCTAACCTCCACCACATTAGAGCATATCCTATTGTAAGATGCTTTAAGTAAGTGAAAACGTACTTACCCCTCTATCCAGTAGACTTACCTAAGGAGGCAACAAACTGGGGGGGGGGAGAAAATAAAGGGTGGGAAAATACTTGCCTCCTGTCATTAATACAATTAAGATTATAGGTACACTAAAGCTAACATAATCTACAATTTTATAATATGACAGGAGGCTTCGTATTTCGCTGTTTTAACGCTCCCCAAGTAAGGCTAAGGAAGCGTGCACGGCCGGACGAAAATAGAAATTGCAAAACGTCTCTTCCCGGGACCAATCTACCGATCGAAGAATGTCCTTTAGGGACAGCCCTGAACGCTCCTGATGCTGCCACCCCTCTGATGGAGTGGGCTCCGAAGGAGGCTTCTATCTCTGCTAGGGAAAGTAACCATCAAATCCACCAGGCAAGAGTGGTGGTTGAGACTGGGTTATGTGGGCGAACGTAAGACACCAAGAGATGACTGGAGGAAGATGAACGGAGGGTCGAGGTGAGAGACAAATAATGAGAAAGAACCGAAAACACACATAGTTTAGGATGGTTAGGGAAATAAGGATAGAATATTGAGGAGGTGTTCGATTTAGTACGTCTAGACAGAGGAAAAGTAACACCTTCTGGAGAGAATGTGATGGCATCATGGTCAAATGCTCGAATGTCGGACACTCAGAGCAAAGACACCAAGCAAAGTAGCAGGGTGAACTTCGCCGAGAGTTGGCGGAGAGAGAGGTCCTTGTTATTCGGCCAAGCTTGTAGGAATTAGATCATGACATTAACATTGTTCAGTACTTCGGTGCTGAAGGGTGAGCCAGTTTAATGCCCCGCAAGAGTCTGCAGACCAGCGGATCCTGGCCTACCGGAGCTCCGTGTAGCGCAACATGGGCTGCTGAGATGGCCGATCAGGCTACATTGATAGACCGATAGGAGAGGCCTAGATCAAAGAGGTATGAAAGGAAGGGGCCGTAAGGGGATCAGTATCCCGTCCCAGGCACCAATTGCACCAAGAGTTCCAGGAGAAAAGGTAGCATCTTCTGGTTCCAGGGGCCCAGGAATCCCATAGGAGCTCCTTAGATCTCTGTAATAAGTCTCCGAAGTTCCAGGATCCCAGGAAAGAGTCCAAGCCACTAAGTGGAGGTGGCCTTGTTCTATTATCGGATTAGGGAGCCCTTGAGGGTCCTCCAGGAGATTCGGTAATGGTGCAAGGAGGAGCGTGTTACGGGCAAATGCAAATATTACAAGTTTTAGAATGAAATGTTGTATTTCTTAAACTGTGTACTTTGTCTTTAAGAGATATTGCAAACTGACAAGGTGTTAGAAATGGAACATATTGTTTTTCATAACTGTTTCTTTAAGCAATAACCTCAGTGCATAATATGTTTGCGCCATTTTGTCCCAGACGAAATACAATAATGCATAAACAAGCTTCAAGGCTATGCTACGACTCTTGCAGTACACAATATACTGTGGTAACCCCAAGTTAATGGAACTTCCCCAAATCCGGGAATCTCCCACGACTGTACACTTACGACTTAGTATAAACAACAGATAACCTATTCAGACTTTAAGATGCCATCTTGAACTAAGTCAGGAAAATTTCCATGACGTATACACCCTTTAGTTATGGCCTTGTATGTTTGCCAAGTTAAGGGAGGTCCTAAATTGAATAAAGTAAAAGAAGTGTTACTTTTTCATATTTGAACTACAGTAACCTAAAATGGAGACACCTAAGGTATAAATAGGTGTACTTTTAAATGTTAAGACACAGAGGAGAGACTTGGAGACAGACGCTGCTCCATCTTAAAATGACAGAGCTGACATGATGACATGTTCAGAAGGGTATGTTAACCTATTAATGATATTTGCAAGCATGTAATTTAATCTTATAAACTCTGCTATAATGGATTTTATATTTTTATATAATAAATATCCAAAAAGACAATCTTGCTTCCAAGACAATCCTTATTTTATATTGTATTCTCAATTATTTATATATGGTAAATAGAGGATCTCTTACTAACTATATAAAATTATGGCTAAGATATCTGTATGGTTAGCCCTACTAAGTTCTATGCTTTAAGACATTATAGTGGTAAATAAGGGAACCACCACGGTTACAATTGGCGACCAC